TAGACTAGTAACCAATGAGGTGAGTCGGACGATGATGGGAGGTAGACCTGGGAGGAATGCATATTATATAGATCTTACAGGTTCTTGGAAAAATGTTAGGTTTGATTCTGAGATGAGAAATGCTTACAGGGCTTTGAGTCAAAGAGGAACAGGATACAACAGGTTTTAATAGGCCCATTCTGGCTACCGTATTGAGAGCCAGCAGTAGGAGGTCATGAGCATAAACAGGGATACCAGATGGGAGGCCGTTAAGGGGTGTGCAGATCAGAAAGCAATCAACTATGTCAGAACCCCTGATCGCTCAAATAGATGGGAACTGAGAACTGCTGATTGGATGTAGCAGTGTGGCGGTTGTTGGTGACCTTGATGAGAACAGTTTAGTGATAGGCGTTCAGAAGCCCTGCTGGAGTGAGGTCCAGCAAGAATTGGAAGAGTGGAAGTGGGGTAGCGAGTATAAACTCTTTCAAGGTATGTTTTGATGGAAAGAGGAGAGAAATGGTATGATTGCTGGGGGGTTAGGGGGGAGGATTATCTTCTTTTTAAAGAATGGAGGAATTACGTTCTTATATAGATGGGTATGATCAAATAGATAAGGAAGATTGGTGATGCAGGAAAGAGAGTGAAAGAATTGCTGTAAGCAAGAGAGGATAGGATATAATTTATAATTGGAGGGTTAACATTAGCTAGGAGTACAGACAGTTCTTTCTTAGTAACAGATGGTAGAGTAAATGGGCACAGTTGCTGTGTAGATGTGATGGTGGGAGTTTATGGAAGTTCTCTTCTGCTTGCTTCTGTTTTCTTAGTGAAATAGGAAACAAGGTCATCAAATAAGATTAGGAATGAGGGAGAAATAATAGATGGTTTAAGGAGAAGGAAGGTATGAAATAGTTATCCAGGAGAGTGTCAGAGCAAATAGACTAAGATCGTCACGCATCATGAAATGCCCACTTGACGTGGTGATCAGAAATTGAGAGTGAACTAGTTAGCCTTGCCTGTATTCCCCTGCATGTGCTGACGTGGAGTAGGTGGAGAGGAGGTTTAAGTGAAGTGTGGTTTAGCCAGGCAAGTATGATGGAGTTAGGAATCAGGAGTGTTTACAAGGGAATGAGTGATTATAGTGGTAGATCAGGAGATGTCAGTTGGGTTACCAGGGCTATGGGGACATGAGTGGAGGGTGAGGAATAGTGAAAGATAGAAAGTAGTAAGATTAATGAATTGTGGGATTTGGTTGGATAAAAGATAGTTGAGGTTGAAGTACTGTATGTTAGGACATGTGATGAGATCTAAGGTCTCTCCTCAGATTCTCTGATTCTGAGGCATTGCCTTCAGTATGGAGTTGTTGTATTACGTAGCATCTGTTAAAAGTTTTAGGTGCTGCAAACAAGTTTACAGTCCATGAATCATGAATTCCTTAGACAGTAGCCCAAATTTTAGTGTTCTTACCTACATTATGGACTTTGGGACTCCAAAAGGATTTTCATATTAGCAACCAGAGAATGATATTTAACAACAGCTACTCTACTGAGCGTAACTTTTAAAGTGACTATTATTTAGAGACCCGTGTTAAATGCATACAAAGCAGTGAAGAGCATGGACCACTTAGAGTCAAATCCTGGCTTTGCTGTCTACTGACTATGTAACCTTGACTAAGTTAACCTTCTCTGTGCCTTCATTTTTCCAATCTATAAAACAAGGGTAGTAATAACAGATACTCACAAGATTGCTGTGAGAATTATGAGTTAATATATGTAAAGCACTTAAAATAGAGCCTGACGCATAGAGAACTCTGTAAGTGCTGCTGCGGAGGCTGCTGCCGTGAGGATTTATACTGAATCAATTCTAGTGTTGTTTTTGCTTCTTTCCCAGATTAGCATCAGAGGTGCCATATAGGGTTAATAAACATTGAAGACGTTCATTTGCTATTTTAAAATATATAACAAAAGGGGGATATAATAGACAAGGAAATTTGCAATATTTATGTATTTGGCATTTCATGAGGAATAAAGAGGGCTGTTCAAAGAAGAAGGTAACTTTACCTACTTTTCACACTTTTCTGTTTTGAATGACGGCAGAAAACAGAGAGAGGCATTCTGAGTCATCTGACTGGATGAAGACTGTTCCAAGTTACAACCAAACAAACAGCTCCATGGACTTTAGAAATTACATGATGAGAGACGAGACTCTGGAGCCGCTGCCCAAAAACTGGGAAATGGCCTACACTGACACGGGGATGATCTACTTCATTGAGTAAGCAAACGTCTGTGTCCTCCTAGCGTGCCCTCTCGTGAGCATTGGCTGACGTGTCTTTAAATCTCCCTGGACGTGTACGGTTTCACAAGACTCTCATTTATTTTTTTTCTTTAAAAATATTTTTCATACAAGTGACAGTTGATTCTTAGTCTGATTATCTCCCTGGATGACATGTCATTTTTATTTGACTTGGATAAAAGAAAAGTGCATATGGTACCTCTGCTTTTATAAAATCAAGAGGATTAAAGGCAGGTTCACTAATGATAAAAAATGTAAGGAATAAACGGTGTGTTCCTTCTCTTTTTCTCTTTTTTTTTTTCTGACTTTTGGGTAGATTGTCCAATTTATTGAGCATTTCAAGGATTATCATCGTAGGTGGGGTTATATTATTATCTGAGCTAAATATTTCCAGTCATACAGTTTAGGTTTGATGTATTCAGGCAATCTAGTTAAATAATATAGGAATAAATCACTGGTACAATATAAGTTCACAGAAAACAAAATTATTTTCTTGGATAAGCACTATTAATAGAATATTTTCAGGAGTATCCAACCGGTACTCCTATGGGCCACCTGCAAATTATGTGAGGACTTTTTTGTTTAACTGTGGTGTCAGATACCATGAAAATTATGCACAGACCTTTTTATTGCCCATCAGCTTTCATTAGCATTTGTGTGTTTAATGTGTGGCCAAGACAACTCTTCTCCAATATGTGGCAGAGAAGGAAAAAAGTTGGGCACCCTTGATACTGAATACTATATGTATTAGATCAACCTAAAATTGTGTATTGTTTATACTAGACGATAATATTATGTAAGTAACTTATTGGAAGTTTCATTATGAAGAGTTTTTATATTCTTATATAACTGTAGTTCTCTTTGAACTAATTTTCGCTCAAAGATAGACTATTAATGTAATAAAGTAATGAAATATAATAGTTAAATAACAGTTAAATTATTGAAGGCTGGGCACGATGCTCAGAGTCCAGAGTGCTAACCATTACACCATGGAACCGCCACGTGGGCATGACACTCGAAGAACATGTACTCAGAAATGAATTAGGGGTGGGGTACTTGTGTCTGTTTCCTTACATTGTCCTAGTTACATATCCTTCCCCTGGAGAGAGCATCTTGATACATCACGTAGGATTCTAGTGATTAAAAGACATAGATTTTTGTATGTATGGTATTCTTATTATCATATAGGGTCTGTTATTGATTTTATTTTATATTTGTATAAACTTTAATGACCAGGATTATACAAAACAGGCACAACCAGCTATATTCTACTATATGGGCAATTTAAGGGATTTTTCAAGGGTAATTTGGACTTTTGACTTTCATTCTGACTCTAGAATTAAGCACTTTAGTAAGTTTGTATAGTTACTAAAAGTGGCTAGAAGTAGATTATAAGATATTGAATCTGGCAGTACTTCACCCTGCAAATGGGATAAATATGAGATGGTAGAATTAATAAAAGAAATCTCTCTAAAACTAATGTTACGGCTCGGCGCCTATAGCTCAGCCGGCTAGGGCGCCAGCCACGTACACCTAAGGTGGCGGGTTCGAATCCCCAGC